CAAGTGATGTTAGGTTAACTACATTAATCAGAAAGCATCTCAACTTTCAGTAAGGTTAGTTACCACACTGAGCTCATCATAGCTTGTTTGCTTAAAGCAGTGGAGGGACAGCTGTGTATGTAACTGCCATGTTTGTCACATACTTTATCATGAAAATATTTCCTGTAGAAGAGATTCAAAAGTGATTCACTGTCTGACTTTTCCCTACTACTGTAAGACTCATTACCTAAGGCTTGCATTCCATTCTGACAATCTCCCTGACCTGGCACAGAAAACAGTTGTCACAAAATTTAAAGTGAAAGTGTATTCTCCCTTGATGATAAATAATGTATTTAAAAAACAGCAATGACCTGAGGACATTTCACCTCTTCAGCCTCACACATGCACAGACACACAGCAGATGCACTAGTGGTACTGAGTATGATTAGCTTACCTGCTCTCTACAATGGTCCTTTCCTAAAATAATGGCATCTGAAATACGTTGTGAGATGTTTTCTCACCTACTCTTTTGCTCTGCCTAAAGTCATAGAGATCAGCATGCTCACAAGAGCCCTCCTTTCCAAATACTCCACAGAACGCCTAAAAGCAATCATACAACAGTGTGCCCTTACTGACAGTTCCCCTTCCTCCTTTCCTCTAGCCCACATCTCAGGCACACTACCATCTCAGAAATCACTCTGTTCTTAAGGAGGAACACAATAAACTGTTTACTTTTTGCAAGTTTTTTTTCCTCCTCAGCCGATCAAGATATCGTTCTTTAACACAGACTGTTGTCACATAATGCCCCTCCAATATGCTGATTCTTTTTTCTCTATAATCATCATCAGTGGCATTGATTATCTTTCACTAATAACTTTCTCCTTTTGGCAAAACAGTTAATGGTGGTCTCACAAATATAGGAAACCCAAACACTCAGCTGTTGCAAACGTTCTTCTAAGCATAATTTTGCTCACTTACGAGTAAGCCTATTTTTGGCTTTCAGATAAACTGAACAAGTCATAAAGGATGACCAGGAACTAAACAAAGATTTTTAACTTGGTATAAATTTTACCAGATAGGAATACCACCTTGTATGTGTATTCACCATTAGGGACCTTGTCCAAACCAAGTTCACAGCTTGTGGCACCATGGAGAACAGCAGAACAGGTGAGCAGAACAAAGCTGAGTACTAGTAATCACTGAATCATTGTTACCTATTCACTCCCCTATTTAAATGACTTCAGAGCTGTATGTATCTACCAAAGCTCAGTTTCTGTTAGCTTCTTTTCATGTAATGTCTGCCTAAGGAATATTTCCAAAAGCTATCACTGTCGGTGCAGGCCAACAGTGAACTAGAGACCAATATTTAGTGCAATCAACTGTCACATAAAAACATCAACATGTTCTCGATGTAGCTTCTCTTAAGTACTTACACAATCCCCTCTATTAACTATCTTAACATATATCTGTATTACCCACTGGGAGAAATAATACTCTAAAAATTTATGAATGTAAAAATCAGAAGCTATATTTAGCCCACAAGCTAGGAGGGGAGCCTAATAGGAGGCAAGAGAAGCCAAATCCCACATTCAGATTCCTTAATTACAGAAACATACTTTCACATACTCTAGCTGCTCATGTGCTCACTGTCCTTTCTGCAACAAAGCAGACATGGCCTGGACTGCAGCCCCCCACAAACAACTGATTTTTGCACGGTTAATGAAGGACAGAAAAAGAAAAAAGTTATCACCTCACCTGCCAGGGTGGGATTAATAATATCCCACCTATATTATATTCCCACCTATATATTCTATATCCCACCTATACTATATTCAGAACTGAGATGCTATTTTCTGAGCTGGAAAAAACATCATGCTTAGCCATGTGTCGTGGTTTAACCCCAACAGCAGCCAAGCCCCTAGCTCACTGCCCACCAGTGGGGTGGGGGAGAGAATCAGAAGGGTAAAAGCTAGAAAACTCCTGGGTTAACATAGACAGTTTAACAGGGAAAGTAAAAGTCACACACACAAGCAAAGCAAAACAAGGAATTAATTCACTGCTTTCCACAGACAGGAGGTGTTCAGCACCTCCAGGAGAGCAGGGCCCATCACGTGTAACTGTTACTCGGGAAGACAAATGCCACCACTCCAAATGTCCCCCTACCTCCTTCTTCCCCCCACTTTATATGCTGAGCATGATGCCATATGGTATGGAATATCCCTTTGGTCAGTTGGGGTCAGTTGTCCCAGCTGTGTCTCCCGCCACTTCCCATGCACCAACTCCCTTGCCAGCACAGCAGTACAAGAAGCAGAAAAGTGGCTCTGTCAGCACTGCTCATCAGTGACAAAAACATCTCGACATTATCATCGCTGTGTTTAGGACAAATCTGAACCACAGCTCCATACCAGCCACTGTGAACAAACTGAACTCTACCCCAGCCAAGCCCAGCACACTATGCTCAGAAGAAATCAGACAGATTAGAGGACCAGGTACAGGGAGTAAATTGGCATCATGTACTTAGCCCAAATCTGTTGCTGCTGCTTTCTGGACTTGGCATCTGTCCCAAAGTGCTTGCATAGCAACACTGTACAATGAAGGCAGGTACATCTAAAACAGTTTCTGAAATCAGTTCTGTTCCTTCTAACTTCAGGTGCTCACTCTACACCCTCCTCTGCCCACACCCGGGCCAAAAGGGGTTCTGTTCAGTATCCAGGCCCTAAGATGTAAGTCTGCAATTTAAGCTTATCTATGGACAATGGCTCAAAATTTACACACTGCCCAGGAATTCAGTTTTTGCCATGATCAAGAAGAACTCATTTGCTTCTCAAACAGTTTTTTTTTCCTAAGATGCTGCTAAGACAGACTTGCCCAAGCAGATTTTAGCTATCTCTTATGAATTTGCCAAGTCACATAATACAGTATGAATGTAACAGTCTGAATGATATGGTGTGATCTCCTGCAAGTACCAAGAACAGACGGAATCTTAGTGCTCTCCCACCAGAGACTGATGAGTCGTTCTGGTGGCCTTTTCCACAGATAATAATACACTGGATTCACACAATAGCATTGTCCAGGGATTCAACGATGACTAGAGAAGAACAAGCCTACAGCTCCATCTGGTGAGTCAGCTAGCCAGCGACATTGGCACTCTGCAATGAAAATTAAAACACAACCAACACTTAATTATTTCCAGGCTTTATTTGCAGAATAGAAGAAATTAATAGGACACCAATTCTCACAACCAAACCCTTAGAAGACACTGCTCAGGCCTATTCTGTTCCCAGTTTTACTCACTGGTGAAGTCCAGAAAGTAATTTTAGAAGAAACCTCTGTGCTAAATGAAGTAAGATTCCATTAGATAGTCTCTCTGTGCTAAAAACATTACAGTAAGCTAGCAGAACTAATTTAAAACATAAAATAAGGGAAAAAAAGTCCTGCTTCTAGTTTTAGCATCAGAGATTTCATTAGTTCTGGACAACAGAAGACAGCTCAATGAAAATACCTAAAAGATGAAAATAAACCTTGCAAATATCCTTTCTGCTGTTCTTTGCTGAGGAGGAAGATATATCTGACATTAGTTTGTTTCTCAACTCACAGAACATGCAGTGTTCTCCTACATAGTGCTTTCTATCTGCAAGGCCCACACAAAAATTACCACACTGCTATTCAGGACAAACATATTAATGTAAATCCAGATCACACTATTTTAGCTATAAGTCAGAGGTTTCAAATCCAAAAACATAGTGTTGCTGTTTGCAACAACCAGTTGTTTTAACAAGTACCTTCCCCAATTAGCATGCTTGTAAGGAACATCTCACAGCACAGGGCAGGTGCACAGCAGTTTCAGAAGAATAAGAAGCTATATTTCTTCCAATATCCTCTCAATTCTGTATTACATGGAAAGAAACCTTAATTCCTGTGCTTTATACAATCTTTCTTACTACAACCAGAAAGAGAAATTTCGAAATACCCATTGTGGATTAGAGGCATACAAGGTCTTCTTGGCCAGCTGAAATAGGCAGAGGAATTTGCAACATGACTGTAAGACATAATTTATTTTAGCAGAAAGTAAATAGTTCCTATTGAATGTGGTACATTACAACGCTCATTTGTATTTAGTGACTCCAGTCAGGAGTGTAGTTCTGCAAACACCGTGCTGCCCTACTGGAAGTAATCTGCATACGTGCTCATTCCATACTGTGCTAACAGTGAGAGTAAAGAAGGGAGAAAGACACTGTAATTCCATACAACCTTTGGCAATCATTATATTCCAATATTTGGGACTTTATAATACATCCAGTACAAGCACCCCTAAATACAAACATTATTTCTTCCTTGCTCAAGCTTTTTCTTCAAATTTTTTCTAATATGATTTCAAAACAAAAGTAAAAGAACATTTAATATCAGATTCCATGTCAGTCACAACAACTGTTCTTGGAAATACAGCGTGCATCAAGAATGGGCTCTGAATGGCTTTACTATCACACACTGTGTATTGCATAAACCCAGACTAAACACTCTACACACTTCATTTTACAAGTGCATCCACACATTTGGATATATGCTTCTCCATTCCTTGAAGCTCCTACACTCAAAGTTTAGGCACCTATGTGCATGAAAAAGCTTTAGAAATTACAGTACTTCTATTAAAAGTGAGTGAAGAGATGTGTTGGGGCTTTCAGAAACTGGTGAGACACATGACAAAGCTTGAACGAATCACATTCCATGTGAATGCAAACCACATATGCTATGGAGTCTGCAAGGGCTCTGAAATACATGTGAAGACAGCTGTTATCACTGGACTCACCCCGCTAAAAACATCTCTTTATTGCAACAGCTCCAGTGAAAGTTTGTGTCATCACGAGACACTCCCAGAGTTCAAGAAAGATATTTTTATTATACGAGCAAGAATTCTGTCTCTCTCACTTTAGATGACAGCTTGGTGGTTGGGGTTTGGGTTTCTAAAGCATATCCTCTAAAGGTTTGAGAAACTCAAAAAATAAATACTACAGTGCTCTGTTCTAGGGCTTCAGTTTGCCCTCCTTCACTAACTGCTCATTGAGCTGGCAAAGTTGCCTTAGAAAGCCATCATTGGGGCCAATCTCTCGCTTCTGTCGCACTGTGCTCAACGCAGACTTGACATCCATATTCTGGCGAAGCATGAGGTAGGCGATGACCAGTGTGGGAGAGCGGCTGTAGCCCTCACGACAGTGCACGAACACTTGTCCTGCGGGGAAGACAGGCCATAATTTGGGTTACACTGGAATATATGTTTGAAAAGCAACACCAAATAGCTAGGACATAAAGGGTAACGGTATCAGTCCTTTGGCAGCTTGAGAACTGTGAATTCTGAATGCTACAGAGGACATGCAGAACTTGGAAGGAAGATGCTATGACTCTGTTAGTAGCTACACAGTCTGTCATGAAGGATAATGCAAATGAAAACATATATCAGTCACACTAAAATATATTTGCTGCTATTTTACAAGAGTCAAACTGTGTCTATTTACTGCACTTCTCCAATCTTTCATGGCTTAGAATAAACCTTGCCCCCAGAGATGACCAGTACCAGAGAGCATAAACAAATGAAGCAAAGTTTAAAATACATGGAAGAAAGAGAAATATGCTGTTTTCCATGTAGTGCATGTCTTCAAAGATATTCAGCCTTTTTGCTGCATTGCTGCCAATTCCTATGCTATGTTGGATCACACCTGGCTACTTCTCTGGCTATTTAGGAAGCCACATTAACACTCAAGTAAATGGAACTGCTGACTGTGCAGCAACCAGAGCCAGAAACATCTAATCATTCTGTTTGCTAGCACCAATAAAATGCTTCCAGATAACTGATCAGGGAACTCGTTCTACATTAGTTGGGTTCTATTGAGTTTGCATGGCAAAGTTTTGGTGATGGTGGCTACAGGGGTGTCTTCTGCAGGAAGATATGAGAAGCTTCCCTTATGTCCCACAGAGCCAGTGTCAGGTGCATCCAAGATGGACCTGCAACAGCCAAACCCAACAGTGATTGCAGTAGGGCCTCTGGGATAACATATTTAGGAAGGGAGAAAAAACCTTCTGTGCCACAGCAGGTGAGAGAGAGGAAGAGAGGAGTGAGAACATGTGAAAAGAACTTTGCAGACACCAAGATCAGTGAAGAAGGAGGGGGAGAAGGTACTCTAGGTGCTGGAGAGAAGATTCCCCTGCAGCCTGTGAGGAAGATCACGGTGAGGCAGGCTGTCCTCTTGCAACCCATGGAGGTCCATAGTAGAGCAGATATTCAACTACAACCCATGGGGGACCCCATGCCAGAGTCAGAGCAGGGGAATACTCCTAAATGTGGCCATAACCCAATGGAAAGCCTGTGTGGGAGCAGATTCCTGGCAGGACCTGTGGCTCTGTGGGTAAAGGAACCCATGCAAGACCTGTGAACCTGTGGACGACCAGTGCTAAAGCAGTGTGTTCCTGGAGGACTGCACTCCATGGAAGAAGGAACCCACACTGGAGCAGCTCATTAAGAACTGCAGCCTCAGGAAGGACTCACGTTGGAGAACTTTGTGAAGGACTGTCTGCTGTGAGTGGGATGCCACACTGGAGCTGATGAAGAGAAAGAAGAGGAAGGAGAGGCCAAGATGTGTGATGAACTGACTGCAACCCCCATTCCCTGTCCCCTCATGCTGCTTGGAGTGAGAAGGTAGAGGAAACAGGGCATGATATTGAACATGGGAAGAAGGAAGGGCTAGGGAGAAAGTATTCAAGAATCAGCAAATAGAACTGCTACTACAAATTCAGATTGACTCTGCAACTCAGCAGGGAAGTCATGGCAGAGCTGGCATTGTTAAACGGTCTTTCCCCCTGCAGCCTGTTTCAGTGAGTCACAATGATAACTGCAAGAGCTGCATTTCAATCTTTAGCATTTTTCATACTCCACCAAACTGGATGCAAAATTTATTTCCATCTGGCAAAAACCACACCACAGTTCTAGTACCCCTTGCCCACTTCAGAGAAAGAACTGAATTCTGGGAGTTCTCATTCCTCCTTTTTCATGTTCAATCATGACGCAAGAAAGAAATAAAGGATGTGTAGAAATAACTGGTATGTTGAAATAGTCAGACAACACCACCACCTGACCCACTGCACTATGTCTTAGGATTTCTGCCCTGAGGAAACACACTGTAGAGAAATGTGGCAACCGACAATGTTGCAAATACAATATTCAGCCTTCCTGCAATCCTAGGAAATAAAGAGGCAATCGACACATAAAATATCTGATTGAATTAATGTAATAAAAACTGTAAGGCGACAGTCTCTATCCTTACTGTACACTTGGAAAACCCCCCATATAACAGATTATGTGAGTACTCTTCAGCAGTGCATAACTGGTATCACTTCTGCCTTGGAGTTTTAATTTCTAGTGTCCTAGAACAACTTTCAGATCCTGAGCTTTTAAAAATTATTTTAATGTGATTTAAACTTCTAAGGAAAAATCAAAACATAACTTCCCAGAAAGGCACTATTATAAGATGCAGCAGCTGTTTCCCTTTTCAAGGTCACCCCTACAATGATAGACTTTCCTTTGCCATATACTGGAGACCTACATGTGTAAACTGAAGACTAAATTGTCTTATGGCATATTCTGGTGGTTTTGATCCAGGGCCTTGACCTAAATTCCTGCCTTGGTTGTTCTGCTCATAATCTGAGCAAAGAACCATTTTAAACAGTAAATTGCTAAGAAACACAAGCAGTGCACAGAAAACACAGTAGAAAAGTATTTCAGTTTGCCTTACCATCCTTCTGGGAAAGTGCTTTCTCAATAAAATCAGCTGCCTCCTCAAAATAGCGACTGAGGTTAAATTCCTGTGTATCATTAGCTTTAATGCCATGGTATCTGATGCCTGTGCCTTCATAGAACTCTGCATTAGTGTTCACATGCATGAATGATTTCCCCTCTGCTGCATTCAGAACATGGGTTATCCCCAGACGCTGCAGCCTCATAATGTTCTTGGCTATGAACCTGTATGACAAAAAGTGTCAAGAAAATGATTAGAATGCAGTCATCTCAGTATTTATGATGTTCTCAGAAGGTATGGGTAACTAAATCCCTTGATTTTTCTGTTAACAGATGCCAAATATACTGTGCCCAGAAGTGAGTTAGCAATGGATTAAAAATTCACAGAAATATTTAAAGCCATGGTCACTCCTTGTGCATGAGAGAACACTACTTTCTTGGCTGATGACTGAGGGGAACACACATGAAACTTAATCTGCTAGATCCTTCTGTGCCATAAAATTCTGACCAAAGAAAGCACCAGAGTTGATAGCACAAAGCCCAGGATATGACCTTCTAAGATTAACAGTTATCCATATAAGACAATTTAAAAACCAGATGTAAAAAGCCTCTACTGTCAGCTACCAGTGCTGCAGAACTAGGTAAACAGTACTTGCAGACTAACTAGCAGACAGTCCAGACAAACTGACATTTTAGGGGGCAGTTTTAACCACTGTGAAACAGGAAGGGCTCCTTCTCAGGCCACAGGAAGATAGAAAGTACCTATGAGTAAATGTTACTGCATCTTCAAAGGTCTCATCTGAGGACTCCTAATTGTTGTAGTCCCATGTCCCTGTGCTATTCAACACCTTTGAAGTAATGGAAAGATCTGGCAAAGCTGTCCAAAGGACAACAACAGAGCCATATAATTCAGTCTTTGACAGTCAGTGTTTTCCTCACAAGTAGTATAATTTTTAGTGTCTTAGCTGAAATCAATATATCAATGGAAAAGGATCCAAATGAGCGATGTTTAAGATGCTTAAGTTCTTAAGAAAGCACTCAGTACTTTTACATCAGCTAAGCCCTTTCTACCTCCTCAGTTTTTTCAAATAATTGCAGCAAAACCACCAGCTGCCATCTTTGGGCGGCCAGCAGAGCAACCTCCCCTACTAGTGAACAACTGAGCAAGATACCACATGATAATCATGCCTTTCAAGCTTGATGGTGACAATTAATTACATCCAGTAATAATGCCATAAGCTCTGATAGAAGCTCCAGGTCATACAATGGCAAACAATCCATCTGCTCAGTAACACAACTGAGCATGCACAAATCTCCACCTGTGCCCTGGAATGCAATCCACAGTAAGAGGAGAGAACCATTAATTTATATAAGGAGACCATCGACTCCTTTTTGTCACAAACCCACTATTTTTACGTCTATGTGAATCTCTGAGGACATTCACTCACAATTTTCACACAATTCAAGGCTATGAACGTATTGAGTGTTCCTTTCCTCTAGATGACTGTTCGCCTCTTCAATTTTAGAGCAAGCAGATGACCCCTTATGCATGAGTGAAGCTTCTACATTTTCTCCTGTCTGTGCCAAACAACTATGGCAATGAGCCATATATTTGTAAAGACTTTATTACCCAAACAAATGTTGACAGATTTTCCATTTGGCAGGATATCATCTGTGCCAGGGAACAAGTACCAGTGCTTGGGGAATTCTGCTTGCAACACAAAAATCCTACAGTGCAAGGCCAAACCAAAAAGTTTTAATTCAGCTGTGAATTCCTACACTTAGAAGGGTGAGCTTATGGTTTAATTAATATTATACAGATCACCATATATCTGACAGTCGTCAGGATCAATAGGAACTGCTATCCTGGAATCATGGTTGAATCAGGCAACACACACTAACTTCCCTGGAGGCAAACTCATTCCCAGTGAATGATTTTTGCAGTTTACAGATGATTTCCTTACACAGCTAGAGGTGAAAGAGAGAGCATTTGTATGCCATTTGTTTCTCCCTTTCCAAACAGTCCTTGGATCTCTCCCATCCTTAACATTTCATTCCAGCTGCATCATGTTCAATGTTGAAATGCTAGGTCCTCCAAATAGCAGAGACATGCTAACATCAGCTTCATCTGGCCCCTGAAAAAACCCACAGAATCTTGTCCATTCTCAATATGGAATATGTAAGAGTTCCTTGTCCTGTGAGCAGCGCTACTAAGGAGTGTTTCATTTGAACAGAGATGAATTATTTTACCAGCCACAAAACACAGGTCTTGGAGAACAATGCATCAGCAATTAAGGCTACATGAGGCTATAAACTATTTCCATATAGGATTATAAGCAAATAAACCAAGTCTTTAATGAGTGAAAATGCCAGCACATTAGCACATTTTAATTTCCATTGTTGTGTTCATGCAAAATTACTTCCTCACCAATACTTCCCTTAGAGTCACTAAATTTAATCTTAATTGGGAAAATGCCTTCCATACACCTTACAACACACCTGCATTTCTGGCACATTAAGGCCAAAGAATTCCTTCATGGCTGACCCACACACATTAAAGCAGACAGAAAACTAAGACTGGGAATTCATAACAAGAGCACTTTTACAAATAAAGTTGAATTGTTACAGGTTTCCAGTAGTCTGCGGAAAAACCCATATTCCCTTAGCCAGTGGTTCCGAAACCTAAGCCTGCTCACTTTCTGCAAAGCACTGGTTGTGACAAGACATGGTTGCTCTGGATAAAAACCCTGTGGTGTGCTGACTGTTCCCCCCTTTTTGGTGTCATCTGATAAAAATGAATTCTGTCCAAGTTTTCTGGACACTGATTAAGATGTTATACTGAAACACATCTTCAATTGGACAGAAGCAGAAAATAATTTGTCCTTGCAGTGCATCCTGAATTGTTCTTTTGCTATATAATCGTGCTAGTCTTTCACCTACACAATAATTCTTGTTCTAGTGATATTACATTTCTACTCATTTTTGCAAATCTTGTCTAATCTTGAGAGGTTAGAACTGCCTACTGTAATATGGAAACCCATCATTTTCAAAATATTTTATCACTATCTCTCTATGCTTTCATTAATGCTGACTTTGACGTATTGCATGGAAGACTGAGTACTTTGGCTCTGCCTGTAACTTCTGAAGACATTTGCCAGATAAGCTGTTATTCTACACTATGACCCAATTTAATCTCATCAGCCTTAATGTCTCTGTGTTGTCATCTTTACCTAAAGATGGCTTACCCTTAAGAACAGACAGCAGCACTCCTATGCAAAGTATTCTAAAAGGTTTCCAACACAAGTTTCTGAATCTCACTCAGAGGTTTTAATTTTTTCTTGTGAGTTCTTGCTCAAATTCTATTGCTTTTATGTCATGTATTGGGATTCCAAACCCCCTACTCTGGCTACTCTGTGAATTTCAGTTGTTATAAAATCTCTGCCGCCTGTAGTCATAAATGTGACCCTATATTGTGGGAAGGTTTGATCCATCTCAGTCACAGCAGAATGTCAGATCAAATGACTATATTACTTTGGTCTTCTGCTATATGGCCCTCCAGACTCCCCTGCAGCTTCACACACCTCCTCTGAGATTCAGTAAAGCCATTTGTGCACCAAAGGCCAATCTGAGATGAGAGGAGAGCCCCATCAGATGCACATGCACAGCTTCTAATATGAGACATATTCCAAGTTCTGCACAGATGCTAGAGGAACAAGACAGGCTAATGGACTGCAAACATAGGCCCCAACGCAAGCTATGGCTTATTTGCACACTGTAGTAAAAGCTTTATTGATGCCTTACGCACTCTTGGACTAACACATGCACAATGCCTGAGAAACCGAGAGCAAAGGAAGTTCACTACCCCAGCAGTTTGCAGGAGAAGCCAAGTCACAAAACTAGGTCTCTCTTCAGTCATCTTTACAAAAGAGGGAGATGAAGCTGGAAGTGATGTGAAAACAGATCTGTACAGTTTCAAATTCTTTCAGAATGACTACTCATGTAGGAAATGCTACTTACAGTGCAATATGCCACAACCTTACTTGATTTAAAAAATCCTCTTAAGAATTAATGTCTTATCACTGCTCATCGTGCAGTAACTGAATCTTAATAAACACTCATCTCTTCGACTAGACCTCAGCATTATCTTAACTCTCTGTGGATGCTTCAAAGACATTATTGCCTACTAAGTCCTGCTAAATTACGTATGTTGTCTGTTCCCACTGTGAAATAGTTTTTTCAGCCTACAAAGTTATTTTGTACCTCTAGCTGCCATCCACAATTTTTCAGCATTCTTTTAGAATCACTGACAGTAGAACTGCACAGTGTCTGTTTCTCCTACAAACTGTTTGTACACTAATAAACTGCAGTGGTGCTTCAGGTATCTTTTGGCTGTCGATGACTACATAAGAAGTCCTTCTCAGTGGTAAAGCTTTCCATTAGACAGATATTCTCGACTGTGCAATGTACACATGCCTTCTCTGTTCCTAGACAGCCTTGCTTCTGAATGTGTTAAAGTCCATACTCTATAATTAAAATCAACTATTGAACAATGAAAACTACTCTGTAGTAGCCAACTATCTTCAAAGTTATTTCTTAATTATTTACTGTGCAAATCAATCTCACAAGCTGTGACTTCATTACTTCCAGGTAACTGCTAAAATTATGAAGAGATGGTGGCTGTCGGACATCAGATTGGATATTGAGATGATGATTTTGGTCCTGTCTCTAGATGTGGATGCCCTATGTCAACAGGCAGTGACAAACAAAATTTGGTTTAGCTTAGGAGAGAGTTAATGAAAACCTATGGGCTTGACTTATATTTCTTTGGGAGTTACAAGCTTACAATAACAACATGGATCCAGTATCCTACACATGTATTGAAAAATTCTATTTC